TTTTAAAAGAAAAAAAACTACTATTGTTATAAATAACACATTCAACTGAACTAAACTATGCATGCCTATTTAAATATATTTACATATGACTTGTGTATATCGTATATATACATATATATTATTCATACCTTCGGTGTATAGGACACAAGCAGATTTTGACATCAAATTTTGGGGTTAAAAAGTGTGTCTTATACACAATGTTGAAAAAAATCAGGTAATTGAATGACAGTATTTTGTCATTTTATTGGTTTTTTAGTGTCATTATTTTCTTTCAATGTGAACCCCTTTTGATGTGACTAAAAAATCAGTGCAGTCAACAGGATATGTGCAAAAATTCTTGGACTTGATAATAGTAACTGTGGATTTGCTTTAACCTGAATCTCCCATTTTCTGTAGTGCTCACACAGAAAATTTGCATACTTTTTGGGGCAGCCCGAGGAGTGAGATTTTTCACTCTCACAAGGCACTTCATTTCCACTATGTATTCACTCACAAAGCTATCTGAAGATCCAGCATGATAACTATATTCCAGATCAACCAGTTTGCTGCATTGTTGTATGGATACTTTATTTGTAGGTGTTACTGCCAGATGTTCATAATTCCTAACACTCTTGCTTCTCTGTATACAGTAAATGCTGAACCTTTGCTTTAGATAATGTTGATTCCTGCATTTTACAGATATATCCACAGCAAGATTCATTTGGCCATTTCTATATTTTTTGGAGCTTCTATGTGAATTGCTAATTGGTTACTTTCAGTTTCATCTAACTACAAAAATATGAGGTATTCTTTTTGTTTCTAATTGTGTGGCTGTTGAGCATGAGTTCACCATAGAGTATTTTGGGTGTCTTCTGTATGGCCTCTGTTCTGTTTTTTCAACTTGCTTCAGTCAAAAGTCATCAACTGCATTTTAATTTCTTTCTCTAATGCTGGTTTTTGAAGTTCTTTACAACAACTGATGGACTGTGTATGTAATAAGATTTTCCATCACATTTTGTTTCAAGTTTACATGATAGTCCAGCAGCATGACACCCAAAATTATGTATCCCCCTGCTCAAACAGTTGAACATTTTGCTGCCAGATGCATACAAATTTAACCACAGTTTGTTGTCTTGTTGCTCAGTAGTATTTCAGATTTTCTGGCTAAATACTCTAAAACTGTCAACGATTTTAGTCATTGAAGTCTCCTGAATTTCTGTTTTTTTCTAGTAAGTGTTTTCTTATTGATTATATTTCTGTGATAAGAACAAAAATATAAACTACATTTAAAATGGTTTTCATAAACATGAAAGAGCTGATTCTTTGGCTCCTCTCTTAACTGTTGGATAGATCCTCTTTCCTCGTGGTTATTGTTCCATGGGTGTATATTTCAGTGGTTAATTTTCTAGGTGGTGAGAAACTGCATTTTCCACTGATTCTTTAGCTTTCATGAGAGA